AAGTTCACACCAGGAGGCAGCCGTAAAAGGTTTAAAGTATTTCAATAGTGACAACAGGAACAGCAACACTGGAGAACTAAGCAGAAATGTAGAACTTACAGGGCTTAAATACTGTACATGAGGAAATGTGATTTCGGAACGAGAGGCAGGTGGGACCAATAAAATGCTAACGAGACACTACACAAACACAGGAGCTGGGTAGCAGGGAGAATCTGGGGTTTAGAAGACGACAGGCCCATGGGGATTGACAGCAAGAGACCAGGAGACGACGGGGCCATGGAGGCTAACGGTGAAGGACCAGGAGATGGTAGGCCACTGTCAGGAGTGGGACCACTGGAGGCTGAGACACCGGAGACTAGACCACAGAAGGCTGAGGCACCAAAGACCATACCACAAGAAGCATAGACACCAGGCACTGGATCACAAGAGGCGGAGAAAACAGAGTCTAGAACCCTGAGGAGGCGATCAAATCAAATCAAATCAACTTTATTTATATAGCACTTTTCATACAAAAAAAATGCAACTCAAAGTGCTTTACAGATGAAAATGGCCCCATAGATCCCATACTCCCATCCCAGTCCCCCTCCCCAAGTATAAAACAATTAACAATTACGGTTCCCCTCCCGCACCCAACTTCCAAAGTGGACATACAATCACCCGCACACTCGTCCATGCACACACACACACACACACACACACACACACACACACACACACACACACACACACACACACACACACGAACACCAAAGGAAACAATAGGAAACAATAGGCTGAGTTCAGATGGGTCAAGTAATGAACGAGACATCATCAGCGGAGCCATCTGCCCTGACAGTAACAGATCCACGGCAGCAGCCAAGACACCAACCCATGACGCCCAGTGGCGGAGGGCAGAAACCCCCACCAGTGCCCGGGCACTACCCGAGGAGCGCCCCAGCCGCCGCCGCCCCTGACCACCAGCCCCAAGGCAGAGGGCTCTGCAGAGGAAACACTGGAGGATTAAAATATATAACATGTAAAATAACAAAAGCTAATATGGATAAAAAGTAACTGATAAAAAGTGATTATAAAGATAGTAAAAGAAAACATAATCATGTAAAAACACTTAGATGTAAATAAAATGATAAAATTAATTAAAAGAGATAAATATGTATATATAGATAAATAGTGATCAGTTAAAAGCTAAGCTAAAAAGGTGGGTCTTGAGCCTTTTCTTAAAAGCCTGGACGTTCCCTTCGACCCTGAGGTCCTCTGACAGCCCGTTCCAAAGGCGAGGGCCGTAGTACTTGAAGGACGCCTCGCCGTGGGTGTGAGTCTTAACTTTAGGGATAACTAGGAGACGGCTGCCAGAGGAGTGCAGAGACCGCGAGGGTTTATATAATAAAAGCATTTCTGAAAGATATGAAGGCCCAAGACCATTAAGACACTTAAAAACCATTAAAAGAACCTTAAAATCGATCCTGAAACATACGGGGAGCCAGTGCAGTGATTTTTAAAACCGGAGTGATGTGCTCCCGCTTCCTGGTCTTCATCAGGACACGTGCTGCTGCGTTTTGTAAAAGTTGTAAACCTGAGATGCTCTTTTTGGGAAGACCAGAAAGCAGAGCATTGCAGTAATCAATTCTACTGGTTATAAAAGCATGCACTAGCGTCTCTGCATTGTCCCGAGAGAGAATGGGGCGGACTCTGGCGATTTTCTTAAGATGGTTAAAACCTATTTTTCTGATGTTTTTAATGTGTGGAATAAAAGTCAGCTCAGAGTCGAAAATAACGCCCAGATTCTTCACTTGTAGTGATGGATAAAAAGACATTGATTGTAGTCTAGGTAAAAGTTTCTCTCTCTGGGCCTCAGGACCGATGACTAAAACTTCAGTTTTGGCTTGGTTGAGCTGGAGAAAGTTTTCAGTCATCCATGATTTAATATCTAAAATGCAGTTAAAAAGTGCATCCGACTTCCGGGTGAGCGCATGGAGTAGCAAGTCACGCAGTTACTACTCTCCCACCAAATCGCGGAAAATCCCTTTCAATTAACTCGATACCTCAATTTTTCACCACCAACACTGTAGATGAAAGGGAGAAGAACTACGACAGGTATAAGGAAACAGGCGAAAATGTCTAAAACCCAGGAAACGACCGCCTCAGAGAACGAAGCAGCGGCCGCTCCTAGCCAAGCTAGCGGCCTCGACCTACGAGGAACGGAAACCGCGGGTGTGCTGAAGGCAATAGAAGATATGAGAACGGATCTAAAGAGCGATAATTCCAGATTGAAACAAGATTTTATCCAGCTGGGACAAGAACTCAGCGGTAAACTAGATAATATCTCAGCGGAGGTGCAAGGCCTTTCTCGGCGAATGGAGGAAGCGGAAACTCGAGTGACTCAGGTGGAGAGCTGGGCCGAGGAGGCAACGGAGGCACTGTGTAAATGCCTTCAGCACCAGGAGAAACTGCAGCTCAAAGTGCTCGACTTAGAATCACGATCCAGAAGAAATAACATTTGAGTCTTTGGAGTACCGGAGGGAGAAGAGGGGGAATCTGCATCGAAGTTTATTGAAAGCCTGTTGCGGAAAAAGTTGCAACTACCGGAGACGCTGGACCTTAAAATCCAGTGCGCACACCGAGCCTTGACAAGTAAACCACCGCCAGGAGCCCCGCCAAGAGCCATCATCGCTAACTTTTTAGAGTTCTCCACGAAGGAGACTGTTCTACGAGAGATATGGAAGAAAGGAAGGATACAAGAGGGCACCGCCGTGATTCGCTTTGATCACGACTACGCTCCAGAGGTTGTTAAAAGACGTAAAGAATATCTCGCTATAAAAAAGACACTTAAAGAGAAAGGCATACGCTTTCAAACTCCTTTCACTAACATGAAAATCCACTGGGAGTCAGGGATGCGCACATATTCAAGTCCCCAAGAAGCTTACAAGGAGCTGATGAGACGGGGACTCAAGGTGGATGAATCACCGGGAACGACCGTGGGAGAGGCTGACGCGGGACTCCGCCTCCGGGAGCGATTGGGATGGCAGATGGTGAGCGGCGGCGGATCGACAGCGGCTCAGAGGGCGAGGACCAGGCTGCAAGGATTCCAGAGGGAATCACTAAAGTAAGATCGGGCGGAGCTGTTTAATTCGACAAGAGGACTTTTGGACCTGTTTCTCTTTTTCCTGACCACCAGTTGTGGGGGAGTGGTGGCTTTTCACCACACGTTAGACTCGTTGGATGGATACGTCTTTTCGCACGCGCCCCGTCCACAGAGGGCTCTCTCCGGTTGAGAGGATCAACCCTCGGCCCACCAGCGGGGCTGGAAGGGAGGAACGAACGCTCCCCCTTCGGTTGGAAGCCAGTTCAATGAGGTTGTTTTTTCTGTTTTTTTTCTGTTCATTGTATATTAGTTGGGGACACTGTAAAAATCAAGCTCCTGATCAATAGGTATGTCGGGTAATCTTAAAATTGTTTCTTTGAATGTTAATGGCCTGAGCAGCCCAATAAAAAGGAAAAGGGTCCTAACTAAGTTTAAAAAAGAGGGAACTCAGGTAGCCTTTTTGCAGGAGACCCATATGTCTAAGCAAGAACACGAAAAGCTCAAGGCATTTGGATATCTAAACACATTTTACAGCTCTTGTAAGAATACCAGAAAAAGGGGGGTGGCTATATTGATTTCAAATTTACTAAGCTTTGAATTAATATCTGAAACGGTTGACAAGGAGGGCAGATTCATT